CTGTCGCCGCCATCTTGCGAAGAGAGAGGCGGAGAGGGGGCTGCGCCAGTAATAATTGGCTGGCCTGAACGCCTGTCATGCAGTTCTGCCTCCCATTGGGCAATGAGGCGCCCAGTAAGTCCCTCCTCACATCTGTTAACCAATCTGAGGAAAGCTATGGGGGAAGGCACCCTCTGATTGGAGGGAGAACGCACCGTCTTTAGCGCGCTCTCTGGGGTCCGGCAACTTTTTCGATTGGACCCTCCGTGCCTGTTAGCTCCTTCATTGGCTGGTGAGGCTCCCACTGCTGTCTGTCAGTGTACGGAGGCCGGTCTATTGGTTGTGACCCTTCTGTTCCCGCCCCCCCGGGTATAAGGCAGGGGCGGGATTTATGCTTTTGTGTGTAGCATTGAGCCCTTGGCTGGTTGTGTGCAGTCCTCTGGCTTTCGTGAGTGTCGCCTGGCAGTCCCTCGGGGCTGGAGACCCCTGCTGTGGGCAGGCAGTAGGCCGGGGTCCTGCTGAGTGCTTCTGAGCTCCTCAGGGTCTTCTGGGCCCTATTGCCTCGGTGGCCCTAGTGCTGTTGCTGGGCCTTTGTTGGCCGGGCACCCTGGCACCTGTCACTGTTGATGGCAGATGGCCACCAAGGTGTTTGGGCAGTGGCAGTGCAAGTGGTGGGCCCAGCCCATGGTGGCGGAGCCGTTACTGCTGCCTTGACCTGCTCGCAGCGAGGGTGGAACCTGCCAGCGCCTCTCCTGCTATGTCCTGCGGTGCAGAGGCTGTGCCACAGCTATATGAGATGTGGTAAGCACGGCAGCCTGTAGGCCTCTAGCGTGGGAACAGTGTGGCACCAAGCTGCGGAGGTTACCTGGTAATGCTGTATGCCAGCACTATGCAGTAGTGGCACTAATGGCCCCATGAGGTGCTGCAGTGCTGTTACCCCTGTTTTTAGATCTTCCTTCCCAGTGAGGAACAAAGTGGTTATCAGGTATCACGTAGAGAGTGAAACTGAATGTTGATCACCTGTATCCAAGGCTTAATGGTTATCTAACAAATTGATTTTGTGGATTTGTTTACCTATTTACTTGTACTCCAAGTGTCCGCTCACAGGAAACAAAGCAACGTGTGTTGGGCCGGTATGGTTATAAAATAAACTATGTATGCTTTTGATGACTGGTAAGGATACTGGGTTCTTGTTGCACTTCCTTTTCCCTCTCTTTGCCTTCTGCCTGCAGCTGTTATCTCAAAAGTTGCAGCGACATGACAACAGATTTATCTCTGTCTTAGTCTAAAACTTTTTCCTCACAAATATTAATTTGACAGACTTCAAGGGAGAATTTCAAGTGTCTTTGAAGTATTTGAGGAGTCTTGCATCCTGATAAAATGTTTAGACCAGTGAAGCTATGCCAGGCAGAAATTAAGTTTTCTGGCACCACTTTGTCAATCAGATGACTTCTTGAATGATTGAGAATCTTTCAAGGTAGTTGTTTCCCAAGTATAACAGAGAAAAGTGCTGTGCTGGTTATTGCATGGAGTGCAATTGTCTTTGCTCTTACGTGGATCCACTTTGGGCTCCTGAGACACAATTTCCTAGATTTGGGTTACTAATTAAAGCCCTTTTAACATCAGAAAGCATTCTGTCAGGACTGGGGGCTTTTGGAGATTTGTCTACCTCATCAGCTGAGGGGAGATTATCAACAGATGACGAGCAGTTCCTACCCAGTCGTTGAAGACCATAAAAGGAGCAGCTCAACAAAAAGAATTTGTTCTAGCAGTTTGTGTCTCTTTTCCATAAGCAGGGTGCACCTATCACAGCTACAAAGGCGATTAATCCACTGATGTTGGGAACATGCACAGCTTTCATCTTTCTGTGAAAGCACCTGGTGGTCTGTATGCCAGTGAAGACTGACTCTCCTGTTCTTAGGCTTCTGCTATGCAGCCTTCGTTTCCTGTAGGTGTGCCTGGGTTCTAAGGTTGTGTGTAAGACTTAAAATGTTCCTGGAGCTTTGATGTGTCGTTGGGAAGTCAAACGTGTGAGGTATGCTTATTAGAGAGCAGCTGTTTGATCTCACTTCTATTTGCATCAAACTGGCTTTGATGCTTAATTTGACATAGTCACCTGCTGATTCAGGTGAAGCAAGCAAGGCTCTTGAAGACCTGACCATTATAGCTTTATGCTGCAGCCTTTAAAATTGGTCAGCTTAGTTTGGAGCTGCACTTGTGCTTTGAAATTAGCAACTGGGACAGCCTTCCTTAGTATGTTGATGTCAAGCTGCTGAACAGCATGCCAGAGTGTGTGTATAGTGAGTAAGGATGGACAGTCTAGATCTCCAAAGTCAAAGATCAGCGGTCAGCTCACACAAAGCTCAGTTTATACAGAGATTGTTTAATGGTAAGAAAATCAGTCATGTGATGCTGCTAGGACCTAAGGTGTCCAAGCTGCAAAACTGTTCTTGCTTGTTGTGTGACTTGTGGAAAATGTAGGCCTTCAGAACTAATACTGTTTCGCAAATAATCAGTTTATTATTTGAGATGGGAATTTACCAGTGACACATCAGAACTGCCTGTCACTGAAAACTTAGTGTCCGTCTCTGAAGTGATAAAGATGTTTAGCTATTACAGGACAATCTATCTGCCTAGAGGATAAATGAAAGAAACGTTCTCACATGAACACAGATCAGTGTGGTACCACAGGGCCTTCTGATTTTACAGTTTTTGTTGCGTAGTTTCCCTCCATCTTGTTTTGACAGTAAAATGACTTTTTAGCTCTGCTTTTGTAGGATTTCTCTTTACAGTTCTTATGTGGTCGACTCATTACTGCATATGCTATTGTGTCACCTGCACAGATGGTGTATAATCCCTTTATCAGTAGCTATCCCCTCATCTTGCTTATATTACTAGAAGCAGCATCACTTCTAGCACTGAGGAAAACTGTTTCTGTAGTACAGGCAAAATAAAATATTTACAACTTATTTCATTCACTGTTTCAGGAAGAGGTTTCATCTGGTTAGTTTCATGGGATTAGGTCTGATGGTTTTTATTCCATTATTACAACAAAATTTTCTATTGTGTTCTGTCCAAGTTAAAGTCTTTCAGTTATTTCTGCCAAGAGGAAATCAGTCAGTGAGCTTACTGTTTATTTTACATAATCCTACTTATTATCTTATACTTACATAGAAGAAAATGAATATCAAGTCTCACTTTCTGAATCACTTCAGATTTCTTGCTTGGAAGTCTGTGTCTCCAGCCTTCATTGTGCTCTCAGACTCTCTTTGCTTTCTTTTATGCCAAGTTAACAATGCTTTTGTGATTTACTGGTTATCTGTGTTTTTCAGGGGCCATATATTCTACCATCAGTCCAGGGCTTTTATATGGTATAGTCATAGGCAGTGATTTATCTCCATGTTAGCAAGAGGCATTCAAGCACTTCGCCTTTTGCATAATGTTTAAGGGGCTACTCTAATTATAAAAGAAATAATACTGACATGTGGGACTTATAGAGGTAGCATGAGAGTGAAAATCCAAATACTACCTAAAAATAATGAGGTGTAGTATTAATTGCCTGCTGCACCAATGTAAAAATATAACTTTCATCACCATGCTAACTTTAGAGAAGATATCAGGTGTTCAAAAACAGCACTTTGAGGATTGCCGTGTGCTTGTTAGTCACTATGTAGAAACACAGAAAACCAAGCTAAAATAAAGGTAACTTCACAAAAGAAGTTGCAGTGATAGTAAGTGAAAGTAGCGAAGATAAATGTACACAAGCTGTCATAGGCAGGCCAACAGATACTTTCACAGTCAGAGCTTTACACTCATTGAAGAGGAAGAAATATATACCAACTGAGTGAATGATAGCTGTGGGGTGGCAGGGGACCCAAACCCTAGCAAACACCAAATGCTACAATATAATTGTCTCAGACGAGTGTCGAAAATATTGAACTGTAAAAATAAGTCCCTAAATGATTGATTTAGCTGTTCAGAATTCTTTTATGTACCAAACGCGTTGCTGCTTGTGGTGTGTTAGAGATGCCTTGAAAATGACAAGGTGAACTGCGTCTACAAGTCCTTTTGGTGGAGGAGGCAGGTTTCTGCTGTTGCAGTAGTGTAATTCCTCAGGACATTTCACTATAACTGAGAGCAGGCTTCTCCCGAAGAGAGGGTAGGGTGGGTTGGTTTTTTTGTGGGGTTTTTTTGGTAGTACTAGAAAAGGTAGGCAGTTATCCAGGAGAAGAGAAAATTGCACTTCATAGCACCCTAGTATTCAGACATGGGGCTCGATTTTGAAGATGCAATAAAGGTATTAAATCACAGAAGACGTGACTGGATCTGTAGATAAGATTTGAACTGGTGGTCTTCAGTGGTGTTCAGTAGATTGTAACTAGCTAATTAGTTTTCCTGTACAAGTAAATTTAATATTGCTAAAATGTAGTGTCTTGACAACTTAGAGGGTTAAGAGCACTGGATCTGCCAAGCAGATACAGAACGAGCAGCCAAAGAGTCTTTCCTCATTCTGTTCTTCTGGTCTCGGGAGGAACAATCCAGAAATAAAGGGAAGAAGA